TCACCGGGGAATATTCCTCTTCTAATGTTAATGGGTGCATTTTTTCTATTTTCAACATGGTTTGTTCTCCACTTCATCATCATCGCCTTCAAGCATTTAATAATTCCCTGAGTTATCTTGTAAATTTCAAGAACTTTCAATAGCCAGTCATGAGGGACTGAATCATATGCCTTGGTGAAATCTATATAGCATACATATAGATTAGCTTCTCAGTTTGCTTAAGTATTATAGCGTGGATTGTAAGTTGCAGCCCAAGTTTCCACAGACGCATCCCTTTTGTTTTTCCTGTCAAGGCATGGTTTGTTCCGCAGTGTTCGTATATTTCATTTACTACAGCAGTGAGCAACTTGTATAATATCGATAAAGACGTGACTGGCCGATAGTTATCGTGCTTCGAAGAGTCCCCCTGCGCGTACAACAGATATGTGTTCCCTTCAGTTGGAAAGATAGGGATTATTTCGGGATCGGATAGTGCTTCGGAGATCTTGCTGTAGCTCCCTGTGCAGACACTAGTTGTTTCAGCCAAAAATTCTGGATTTTATCGGGATCTTGCGCTTTCTAGTTGTTATTCTTCTTCTTAAGCAGCTTTGCAATATCTTCAGCTGTAAACTTCATTTCCATTGGCATGATTTGTGTCTGTTTTGTTTCGATTTTCTTGATCCAGTTTGTATCTTCTTGGTACCAACCTGGCTCCGTCTACAACTAATTCAAAAATTTACTGACCACATTGACATCGACGGTGAAGTTATTCTATTTCCACTCTCTGATTCCAACTCTGCAAGTTGCCGAAAGAACTTCTTTCTATTTTTGTGGAAATTCGTGTTTTGCCTTTTTTCTCTTTGTTAGTTCAGTAATGTCTACTTTTACACTAACTCATCAATGCTTTTTTCAAGTCTCATCTTCCAAGGTGGTGTCTTTTGTTTATGATTTCCTTTCTGAAGAATGTGTTGGTAAATTTTCTATCCATTTAACTTGATAACAGTTTCTCCGGTGCAGTATATTGCCAGATGTATTTCTGTCAAGTCATGAGTGTCATTTATATATGGGCCCAAAACTTTATTTACATCTTTCAGTGGAGGTGAAGCTTTCCCAATGTTGTTTAGGACAGGGGCGTTTGATCTACTTGAAGATTCTATATTGCGATAATATTCGAGAAGGATATGGAATTTTTGGATTTTTTTCTTTAAATTTCTCTAAGAATATTGTGAAATACACTTATGAAGGGTCTAAATTTTTCTCTTATGGTACTGTCCTAAACGGTGACATAGGTCTGATTTTGACTGTTAACTCTGAATTATCGTAAATTGAATTTTTTTTCGGCGTCTTCATACAACTAGAAAATTGAAGAGCGAGATTTTTTCTTCCAATGATATGTTCTGCATTATTAGTTATTTCGTTAAGATCATGTACATTGTTTTCAACATTTTAGTATAATTCACGCATCATTGCGTAAAATATGGGCAAAAAAAAATATCAAAAACAAGAATTTTTCAAAAATTGCTAATTTTTTTCTTTAAACTTTTGATAGGGTGTTAAACGTTAACAAATACGATAACAAATAACTTGACTTTCGTTTTTCCAAAACTTACATAAGTGTATTTTTTTGTCATCTCTCACTTCATACTTACATAAACACATACACACTCACTTGTATACATAAACACATTTATGAGAACACTCTATTCGAATGATGTCTTGTAAAGTTTCTCTCAATCTCAATAGTTTTCTGTAAAAACGGAAATCAAAATTCCTCATTTACAAAACCCTCAAACGCCATTTTCTCGGAAACAGTTCGTTTTTTCCTTTAAATATTTGACCGATTAGTTCTAAATGAACTTAACATGATATCAATGTCACTTTGAGGTATTCTTTAGTGTCTATAAAAATTACACAAATACATTTTTTATGTAACTCTCAAGCTGGTAATATATCGACCGTGATTTGTATACAATATTGAATTTGTGAGGACAATTACTTCATATAATTTTTTATGAATTTCCTCAAAACCTCAAACGTTTGGAAGAAAATGAGTTTCAATTTGAGCATTTTCAGGCACGTTTAAAAATTTTCTTAAAAAAATAATAATAATAAAAAACAGGTCCAATTTTTTCAATTTTCCATGTTTTCATAAGTGTGAAAGTTTCCATATGTGAAGAAGTTTTGCTCTTCTGTAATATTCCTCAGTTCTATCATTAGGAACCCCAAAAATTGAGAAAATTAAAAAAAAATAAGAGGGCTAATGGATAAATAGGAGGGATGATGGCAGCTGATAAAAGGAGGAAGCAAAACCGAAAAGCTTGTCCACACCAAAGAAATTGGAAAACGAAATAGTAAGTTAGGAGAAAGTTTGTTCCATTCTGTAGCACCTCTTAAACTTTCTCGTAAACGCATGCATATATAAGTATTTTTACTTTCCCGCATACGTACGTATATTCGGAGTAATATACTTAGTGGAGGAAAAGTTATGTAATGCTGTGGAAAATCGATTTTGAAATTTCGACGGAAATCCACATTTTGGGGACATCTGATTCCGAAAAAGAGTTGTTTTTCTTCTTTCTTTCTTTCATTCAAAACGTCACAGACACCGTCTGGTGTCTGTGAACACTACTAGCCCCTAAACCATGTATAGAATTTCTTACCAAATTGAAGAAACCTGTGTCTATCTGGCTCGGGTCAAATCTTTGAGATTTCGAAAAAAAATTCTTTAAACTTTGGGGGTATTTTTTTGTAGCCCTCCGGTCATTTCCAACATTTTCTCAAAAACGGCTCCAATTTTTTCTTCTTCTCATTTCTTGTAAGAATAGAGTAAAATACTCATAAAAATGTCATAGGTTCGATTTTCAGATTTTACATTGAGTTTTCGAAAATTTCAAAATTTTTCGGGTTTTTCCTACAACTACAAAATTGAAGATGGAGTTTTTCCTTAAGATAAAATTTGTTTTCCATTGAGAGTTCTTTCATTAAGGTCAGATACATTTGTTTAAAAATTTTAGTAGTTTTCGGGCAATATTGCATGCAATATGTGCAATTTAAAAAAAATTCTCAAAAATGGCTTCAAATTTCTCTTTAAAATGTTGGTAGGGATAGTGCAAAATGTACTCTATACTGCTCTATTAATTTTGTTTTCAAAAATGTCATTTTTTTACTTGCTTCTCATGTCGTTAATATATATATTAACAGCAATTACCTCACTTTATTGTATTTAGGAGTACATATGCTTTAAAAAAATCATATTAAGTTTCTCAAAAACTCCGTTTTTTGTGAAAATTAGCTCAAAATTCCACTTGTTCAGAAACACTCAAACACCATTTTCTCAAAAACGGTTCCAAATGTTTTCTTCAAATATTTCAAACGGATAGTGGCAATTGCACTATTTAATATGACGTAAAGTTAATTTCGGAGTATTTTTTTTCATCAAAAATTACATAAATATAAATTTTTTGAAAGATCTCACGCCATTGATATGCATGTTTCCAGCAATTTGTAAACTATTGCTTTTCCAGCTATTGTATATGTGAGTTATTGTACTTAAAATGTCTTCATATTAAGTTTTTCGAAAGCTCAAAAATTTTCTGAGAAAAGGAGCTTCAAATTTCAAATTTACATTGGCGCTTGAACACCAGTTTTTCAAAACCGGCTCCAAATTTGTAAAAGAAAATTGCGATTTAGGGCGAGGTTTTACGATTCCTTTGGCATAAAAAACTATAGAAACAAAATTTTCTCAAAAATGTCTCCTATTTTTACTTTCTCATATAAGTATGTAGGAGTAATAAACATAGTAAAATATACAGAGCAATATACGTATTTCTTAAAAATGATTCCAAATTTTCCTTTCAATAAGTGTATTATATGCTTTTATTCTTTTATAATATTGTTAATGTCATATGAATTCTTCTATTGGGGATCCATAAAATTGAGAATACATGAAAAAAAATTATTTTAGGCACCAATAGTTGGCAACTGAGAAGTCGGTGGGGACACAACCGAAAAGATAGTCCATTATACATTACATTCAAGAGAAGTAAATTAATGTTAACACATCAAAACCATCCATTTCATCTAGTTAATGCCAGACCATGACCCATTACAGGAGCTATAACAATAGCAGCAGGATTAATTAGTATATTCCATCAATATAAATTTACCATTATTTCAATTGGAACTCTAATCACTGTATTAACCATAATTCAATGATGATGAGATACTAAGAAATTAACTGGTATGAGAAAGTCTGTACCAATTTGAAACAATTCGTATGACACGATTTGTTTTATTTCTTCACAGAATGTTACCTTGGTAGTCTTCTTTGTGAAGTTATTAATACAAATGTATTTGGAAAAATTCCAGAATCAAAAATTACAAGTATATAAAAGAGACTAAACAGGCAATTATTAAAGTAATAAGAAGTCGCATTTCTTTGTCTTAGAACTGAATCTATATAAGTGGAAT